GGCTTTTCACTGGTGACAGTGATACGCCGCATGAAGCTCCACTATAAACATGAATGTAACTAAACAAATGATCTGTCATTATTCCTTCCCCATACCTAGTCCACCGAGTTTTTCTATGTAGCTCATGTGAAGGACAGGCTGCAGAAAGCACCGCATTTTGACTGCGTTTCCACTAAACCTACTTTCAATTTCACATTTGCGTTTCCATCCAGCTTCCCGTCATCTTCAACCACTTACCCAGCGCAGGGTGAGCCTGAAGCCTGTAGCTGGCAGGGAAGACGCAAACTGGGATGCCAGCCGGGTACAGCACCAATTAAATGATTCAAATTTCACCAGCTTCATGAGCTCCACTGTGGAGCTGTACAGATCTACTGTGCAGATCTACTTTTCCGCTTTACATCTACTGCAGAAAAATGGAAAAAGAAGCAGGTACATTACATTTCAATAGTAGGCTTTGCCAGTTTTGGTTCAATAAAGAGGCAGAGCCTTCAATAAGGATTCATTCTCATCCTGATCATTTACTGAAGTTCATAGTTACTTACATGTGAAATCAAAGCCCCAGCCTTTGTGCTGGAGTGAAATTCAAAGGCTTTTAGTTGATGTTAAAACAAATAACTGAATATTTTTTTGTGTAAGGAACTTAGAGAGGAAAATTCTCCATGTAATAACAGTGATGAAAAGAAGATTCCTCTGAAATTAGTCTTGGGTCGTAAATGAGAGAAGGAAAATGCATTTAATTTGCTTTCCTGTTTATCTGATATTTAACCCTATTTCAGGCAACATTTGCAACATTAATATTTCAGTTGTAGAGCAATAAAATGCCATAACGAGGCATTAACTTTTGTTAATGAAATTAAAGTTGACAATTACAACCTAAGAATAGTTACTGAACTGGCAGCCCATGATAATTATTTGACTCCTGAAATTCACAGAGCTGTCTAGTCATATCCCATATGCTGCACAACTGAGAACACAGGAAATCATTCCTGCCGGTCACAATAAAAGTGTTTAACTCACATATCTGATCACTCAAACCACAAACCACAAACATAAGCACAATTACCTTAAATAACCATGTATACTGTGTATATGTTTGCTGTAATAAACCAGGTACTATGCAAATTATGTTTAATATATGCCAATGTTAATATAATTGCTGCTATAGGTTTTATTTTTATTGGTTATTTTATTATTATTATTTTATTTTAATTACTTTATTGTTCTATAGTTATATCTAAATCTCTTCTATCATCTGTACATAACTTTCCTAAATCTTTTATTTTCATCAGAAGTCTGTTTTTGTAATGTAAGAGACTTTCCCCACTGGGATTAATAAAGTAATTCTGATTCTGATTCTGATTCTGATATGCACTGATGATAACAAAATGGTGGCAGCCCACATTGGATGCCCCATCTCCACAGCCCTTAGTATTTCAGCCCAGATGCCAATCTTCCCTCAAAAAAGATAAAAAGTCCCAGGTAAAGTTGACTCAGCCTCTGATTTTTTTGAATAGCTACTGTAGGAACGCCCCTGGTCAGAGAGTTAAAGAGTGCCCGATGTCTATGACGCACCTCAAAATAAAATCATATAATGCTTTGACTAATACATATAGACCTATTTAATTTTCTAACCATCTATCTACAGTATTATTATTCTTTTAAAGACTGTGACAACACCCATCACCTCTGACCTTAGCTGATGCTTTGCCATTGGTTTCTGGCCAAAGAAGCATTTCCATTATACACCAATTCCTAATTCCAAAATTGCCTTGGCTTTAACTGAAATAACAGACGACACAGGAGAAGAAAGTAATAATTATGAATGTGAGAGATTTCTACTGTTTTTCCCATCTTGGTCTTTTACTCATTCCTAAGCCGTTGACTGCTTTATTAAATTGTCCCTTACAATAAATGCTATTTTTAAATTAGATGTAGACCTATACTTGGCAAATATGCTGTTTTAACTGTCTTGCTGAGAGAAAAAATGCAGTGATATATTGGGCTTTGGGGTGGTTGTGGGTTGCTGTATTCATACTTGTTTTTACACTTTTATGTCCAAAATACGCACGGGGCTGCGCGAGATTGAAGCTGGAATTTATTCAGTATTTTGTTTTCCTACACAGCTTTCACGGCTTGTGCTTTTATATGTCCTGTAGCCAGGCACACAGCTACATAGTACGATGAGGGGCATTTAAACAAGAAGGAGAGAGACGGATAAAATAGGGCAAGAAAACCCAGGGTTATCTTGTATGTGCGTGTGTGTGTGTGTGTGTGTCTGTGTGTGTGTGCGAGCGGGTTTACCTATTACCTACATAATATCCCCATAACGTGATAAATATCCGGTTTTTTTCCCTTATGGGGACCAGTTTCCTGGTCCCCATAAGGGAAAACTCTATTTTATAAAAAACAGTGACTGCTATGAAAAAACTAAAAATGCAAAAATTCTTGTATTTTGTTAGGTTACTCATGGTTATGGTTAGGGCAGGGTAGGGGTTAAGGTTGTCATAGTTAGCGTTAGCATTTTTCCCATTGAAATCAATGAGCGGTACCCATAAGGATATGTTTACCCTACAAGTGCGTGCGTGTGTGTGTGTGTGTGTGTGCGTGTCTGTGTATGTGCGTTCTATGTGTATGTGGGTGGGTGTGAATGTGTGTGCGTGTGCATATGTACATGTGTGTGTGTGCATATATATGTATGTGTGTGTATGTTTGTGTGTTGTGAGTGTATGTATGAGTGTGCAGGTTAACATGGAATGATTCCCAATGAGTGTGCGAGGCCACAACCACGCCGCCCCGGGCCCCCCAGACGGCCGGGAGAGCCCCGAGCGTCATGGACCCAGCCGCCTCACAGTGGCCAGGTACCCGGGCCCCCCGCCACCGGAGGGCTGCGCGTCCGCACAAGGAGGCAGAGGGGGGAGGCACCGGGGGCCCCCCACCAGCGAGCACGAGCCAAGAGCCCCACGGCCACAGGCGGCAGCGCTCCGGTTCCCACCCGGGGGCCACCCGCGTGCCCCACGGGGGTCCCGCCAGCCCCGGGCAGACCTGCACCCCCCCAAGAACCCTCACCTGGGGGACCAGGGGGATGCCCTGAGAGCCACCAGGCACCCCCGCCCCTGGCTACCCGAACCCCCCCCCCCCCACCCCCCCCCGCCCCTGGCTACCCGAACCCCCCCCCCCAAGCCCAGCCCCCCCCAACCCTCCCTCCCCAGTCCCCACACCCTCCCTCCCCCAAATCCCCTCACTACCGCCCCCACACCGCCCCATCATCCACGTGCTCCCCGTTCCAGGACAAACATGCAGACACACAGATCCATGCATACACACATACACACACTCAGACACACACTCCCAGTCACACCTGCTCCTCTTTGAGGCCCGGCAGCAGATGCCCTGGACTTGCCCAGTGGACGGCCCCAGAGGATGTTCCCCACCCCCCCAGATCGCAGGCGAGTGGGCATCCCGGCAGTGCCCCACAGATGCAGTTGCCCCCCCCCCCCCCCCCCCCCAAAGCCCACCCGCCTCACCCAGGATCCCCCCATCTACCCTGATCATTGATGGTGTACATGTGTGTGAACTAAGGTGTCGTTAAAATATGGGGGAGCATATGGGGAAAAGACACCCACCGGCCCCCCCAAGCCCTAAGTGTCTAAGGTGGAGTTAAAATAGAGGGGAAGGGAGCTGCGCAGTCCAGCTGCGGGCAGCCGAAACAGCCAACCCAGGACCTGCACAGCTCCCCCCACCCTCCAAGGCCCTATGTGGAGGAGTGGTGTGACATGAATGTATGTCTAAAGTGCAATTAAAATAATGAGGGGGGGTGAGTGGCTAATCATCCCCCCCCTTCCCTCTGTGTGGTGCGGTGTGATGTCTTTGGTGTGGTGTCGAACGTGTAATTAAAAGAGATGGGGGGTGAATAGCTGATCACCCCCCATTACCTATGTGTGGTGTAGGTGGATGCGGGCTGGGGGTGGGGGGGGCGTAGGGTAAAAGGTGATAGCGCCGCAGGGCAGCGGGCATCAGGCAAGGTGCGCCCGGACACACGGCGCCAACACCCAGGGGGCACCACCGCCCCCCGCCGCAGCGCCCCCCCGCCGCAGCGCCCCCCCCCCCAACCCGAGGAGGTGTCTGGGGCCTCATCTGCGCAGGCGTCGCCGCCAAGCCGTTCAGACACAGATACCCACATTCACCAAACATATTATAAGCATAATTAATTATAAAGATAATCTGTAGAGATCCATGCTAGGATTTGCCCCAATCAGTCCTGCCTTTCGGGAGAAATCCTCCCCCTCACTTTCCACTGGTGCAGTTGTCACCGGGGCCGTTTGCTCATTTCTGTATCTGCAGACCAGTAAACAAGCCAGTATAAGTTTGTTTCTAAAACACGGTTCATGGAGGGCGCAGGAAAGTCCACGCTTTTGCTGACCTCTATCACCCAATGGACTGGCAACAATGTGGGGGCCATTTGGGCCCCTCGAGGACGGGACTGATCACGCTGAGAGAGGATATGTCAGTGTCACAGAAGCATGGCGGGCCGTACAGATCTTTATTAAATTGTTAAAGCATTTAAAAAGTTCTAAACAGCACTAAAAAATTTTTTTTATTAAAGGTTTTTGCTTTAATGAGCCTAATAAAAACAGGATATTCTTGCCAAAGCACACATGTCAGGGAAAAGGATCACAGAGACTCGCATATAGACAGACATACACACAGATCCTAACAAAATCTCTGTCGCGTGAAATAAAAACCTACAAATATTTCCTTAGTTGTTGTGCTCATTTCTTTTTGGCAGTCTTTCGCTAGTTGCCCTCCTCTGACCGCTCTCTCCCACACCCACACACACAGACACGCACCATCAAATGATCCTGCTGTCTCGCCTGCCCCTCTCCCCCGCCCCCCCCCCCCCCCCCCCCCCCCCCCCCCCCCCCCAGATCCTGCACAGCCTGTCTCTGTCGCCCTCCATCCTCGTCCCGCCCACTTCCCTCCCGCCTGCCCACCTTAAACGGCTTGGCCACACCCACCTGCACATAAAACTCAAATTCATGCTGCCTACCGCTGCTCACAGTCTTTTCCAGATTGTTCTACATAAACGTCTTCATACAGATAAAGGTAAGCAAATATATTTCATGCATATTACAGCTCACTGCTTCTGTATATGGTTGAAAATTCGCTATGCAACTGATATAGTGCCAGCAAGGGTCTGCTATTCAATTTTTTTCCCAAGCCACAGATTATCCTCTTCTCAGGCATTGAAAAAGTCTGCTAATAGGGGCATTTTGGCTTGCCCAGGAATTTAACGTTTCAAAATGTATATTTATTAAGGCATTGAAATTATAAACATGCATTTCAAAAGTGAACCTTAATATACATCAGCAACTTGAAGTTTTCTCACCCATTTACTATGTTTTAAATTTAACATTCCATATAAGGATTGCTTATACATTCAGTAAAGTGTATGTAATGAATAAGAGTCTGGCTGTGATGTCTGGATGGCTCAGTGGGTGGCGCTGTTGCCCAGCACCTCTTGGGTCAGGGGATCAGTACAGTATATGTGGAGTTTTTCCCCATGTCTTGCAAGTTTCCTGTAGGCATACCAGCTCCTTCCCTCAATCCAAACAACAGCATTTAGTAATACTAGTGTCTTTAAATTGCCTGGGTGTAAGTGGTTTAGGTCCTGTCCAGGGTAAGCGATTGGAAGATGGATGGGTGGTGAAAAAAATTCTATATAATTATGCTACATTATTCTGAAGGATGTGTCTTTGTTCTGTGGTATTTATCCTGTATTTCACCCACATGAAGGCAAAAAGGGCAGAGCGGGGTCTCTCGGGACCCCAGAGGCTGGCTAGTACACTGGCCCATTCGCTCAACATGGGCAACATCAGTTTCTCTTGATATCCCAGGCCCCTGCAGCAACATGTGCATTATACTGGCTAAAGGGCCACCCTGCTGTAGGTCTTAGGAACACTGAGGGGCTTGGTGACCTTGCTGTGTGCAGTCTCAGTCTCAGTCTCAGTCTAAGTCTCTGTCTCCATCCCACTCACATGGAGCTTGATTGCTGTCTGACTGACCGAGGCTGGAAGTGTGTGTGTGTGTGTGTGTGTGTGTGTGGTTTATATTACATTATGGGGGAAAATAATAAAAAATTGTTTTACTGATGTTGTGGGGACCATTTTTTGGGTTCCCACTAAAATCTGTGAATGCAATCAAAAAAGTAAAACTGCCAAAAGTCTCGTATTTTGTTTGGTTACTTATGGTTAAGGTTAGGGCTGGGTAGGGGTTAGGGTTGTCATGGTGGGATTAAAGTTTTCCCCATTTAAATAAATGGAGAGTCCACAGAAATATTACAAACCTATGTGTGTGTTTGTGTGTGGGGGTCAGACATACTTTAGTCCCCACAATGTGATGAAAACCTGTTATTCTGACATTGTGGGAACCATTTTTTCGGTCACCACAGAGGGAAATTGAATTTTTTTAAAATATGGGACTACAATCAAAAACGTACAAAAGCCAAAAGTCTTGTATTTTGTTTGGTTACTTACGGTTAGGATTACGGCTGGGTAGGGGTTAAGGTCGTCATTTTTGGGATTAGGGTTTTTCCCATAGAAATTAATGGACAGTCCCCACAAAAATTTGAGTACAGGTCTGTGTGTGCGTGTATGTGTGTGCCCATGTTCATGGGGACATATAAACAGCTGTACTAGAGGTGAATCAGGACGATCAATGTTGTGCACAAGAGAGAGGAGATTATGGCTTCAGTGGATATGAGCTCTGTCTGCGATAACAGCCTCTGTGACCCAGCATGCCATTCCCTGGAACAAATTATCAGATCCTTCCTGAGCATTTCAAGACAGCCGCGAGTGGACAGATCCTAAATGTCAGATGAATGGTTGTCAAGGAAGCTTCTAGAGAGGGAGTTAACTAAATGAAATGTAAATATCGGATTATATTTTATATATGAAATAATTTATTTTGGCACCCCTCCATCCGGTTCTCTGTGTGACGAGGAGGCCTGTTTGGCTGAACGTACCTTCTGAAATGACAATAAAATATTCTAACCAATGTTCAATCATCTGAATATTATATGTAGCACTAAAGCTTTTTGGCCGCCTGCTCAGCCATCACAGTGATGTGTTTGTGACAGACAGGAACTTCTTTTAATAGCTTGGTATTTACCGTCTCCCTTTTTTCTGATGAGAATATTTTCCACGCTACTCTACATTCTGAATAACCCAAAATGTACTCTAGCCCATTGAAAAGGGCCTAGTTCCATTCACTGCATCAGCCAAAAGGTATTAAATGTTCCGTCAGGACCTAAGCAAGAGTACTTTGAGACTGCAGAAACAATATCACAGGAGAAAATACAGCGGGATCAGTGGTCAATCAAAACTAGCATTACAACCAAAGCCATGTCAGCTAAGGACACTTTGAGTTGGACAGGATTTGCAAACTACCATTTCAATCAAACTGACCTGGATTTCACTTAAGCAAAAAGTTCTTGCTGTATGCCGATTGGTCAGCTTCCTATAGTCATGAATGTGCCGCTAATGTTAATGTGAAACAGCTGGAAGAGTCTTTCAATCAAGGAAACAAACCAGTCGAAGTAGAAGAAGAACTGAACTATTTAGCCAAGCACAGGAGCCTTTCAGTTTTAAAGTATTTTGTAGAATTTTAAGTAGCTCAAATTGTCCTCCCTGATATGGATTGGGTAGCAACCCTAAACAACACTGGTTTTCAGCAAACGTAAAAGCAGTGATTGTAACGGGACATCTGTAGAGAAATGGGGTGTACACCTCAGGGAACTGGTAGCTGGATCAAAGCAAAATGCTTCAATTCAATAGGAACTAATTAGCTACTTGTTATCCGTTGAAATACCGTATTAATTTATTCTCTTTTCTAAGGATTTCTTCAACAAAGCAGCCCTACTGTGTGAAAACCAGAACCGTAGCGGTTATACGAAATAACACTGACACATTCTGGCTTAAGGCAGCAAACAGCAGTGACAATCCAATGGACAATCTCATCCAGAGTGATGTGAGGTCAATATTTGATACTTTGTCTTGGTGGGAATGTGTGATTTGAGGATATTTCCATGTAATTCACCACTCAAAATGATGATGTCATTCATTACCCAGAGATGTCATTAAATCCCAGCAGCCATGGAAATACGAGAAATATAACAATATTGGAGCCTTAGAATTTAAGCCTATGTGCAAAAGTATCATATTTAAAAATTATATTGCACACTTAAAAAATAGTCACATCATTCTACATTTTGACAGATATTATGGCGAGAGTTTTGGAAGTGCTGGATTCATACTGAATATTACTGTAATATGAATGGATACTGAATACTGTGAGGTGTCAAACTGAAAATTTAAACTTACAGATGTATAAGTATTCTCATTATAAACTTTAACCCTATTCATCCATAAATCATTAAAACCAGACTAAGATTTTTTTTGTTTCCTTTTATTCAGAATTGCATAGAAACTCACAAGAATTTTTACTTTTTCTAAATATAAGTTTTACTAAAAAGTTAACTATCCATGTATGCAGACACTATGCATCTAAGTATTAAAAGAAATTGTAAAGCAAAAATTAATAAGACTTACACTGTATTCCTAAGCATGTTCATTTCATTTATAAAAATTTTCCTTTGGCACAATTTGTCATGACATCTCATAGCATTCTTGGTGACAGCACTTTTTAGTGAGTGTTTTCTTACATCACACTGGATTTCAAAGGCACTGACTCCTTCTTTTCGGAGCATAAGTGTGAGCCTGTCCTTGATGATGTTTTTCCATGGAAAAAAATGTTGCCATCTGTCACGTTTCCGTGTGGGCGAACGGGGAAGCAGGCAGATCGAGCCGAGAGGACGGGTAGAAACAATCCGCAATCCGCCACATAGAAGCCGGGGAAGTTTGCGTGCCTTCTGCAGGGGGTGCGCATTTCCGTGCGGGGGTTCTTCCCTCAGGAGGTCCTCGCTTTGGCTGGCTAGGTTGTGGGCTTCGGGGTCCTCTTGGACCTCGGGTTGGGACCGCCAATACACAACATCTTGCAGCAGACCGAGACGCTGGTGCTCGGTCTGCTGCGCTGTGTTTTCAGCGAGATCTGTCATTCTGTCACGTTTCCGTGCGGGTGAACGGGGAAGCAGGCAAATCGAGCCAAGAGGACGTGTAGAAACAGGGGTTTATTAGCAGGGAAGCAGACAGCACGATAGACAACGGCTGACATCACCAATGACAGATCTAGGGAAACTCACGCAGACGCGGACTAAATATACAAGACAGGTTGAACCGAACAAGCAACAGGTGATTGCAATTGGGGTAGTACACGTAGGCAATGAGGGGCCAAGGTTCCAAAGCTGAAAGCCCAAAGCCCTTAATGAACTTGTGAGTGGAAGTAAATAATCCTCATTATATACATTACTGTGATGAATTGGGGGATATTTTAGAATGATTGGCTGGAACAATAAATTTTTCAACTGAAGACGTGAAAAGTCAAATCAAAGAATTCACCATTCAGCATGTGGGACTTTGCTGTGGTTTGAGTTTAACTTACTTTCCTAAACATCTGATATGCTGGTCTAATACAACAAGAGACTTGTAAAAGAATTATGAATCTCAAGCAAATTCTACATAAAAACAGAAAAATGTGGCCGATATATACAGACGATTCTTGGATTTCTTGACAGAAAAAAACAGGCTTATTTGATGAGGGAGGAAAGGTCTGCAGGAACAGAAAATAACTTTTTTTCTTAAATTATCTAGATTAAATTTGTAAATGCAACATTGTATTTGCCCCTGTATTTATCTCTTTTGTGCAAACAATCTTCTGGTGCACAGCTTTCAGTTGGTCATGAATGAGAACAGACAGGAAAGGGAGGTTTCCCCCAGGGACCTGTTTCCAAACTTCCTGAAGGCAGGCAATGCTGATTTCCCCCTTGGTGGTCTATGGGACGCCTTATAAAAGAAGCATCGACATGTGAAGAATGCCGGGAATGGACTAGGATGGAGCAGACCTTCAGACCCTTCCACGGTCAGAATGCTGGCTGAGAAGCCGACCTTTGGCTGACAGGTCTGTGAGGTTCTCAATGCGGGACGTGGATA